AGCGCTTTTAATGCAAATATGATCGAGGAATCAGAGATAGAAGTGATAACAGTTAATTTCAAAGGTATACATGTGGAATATCATATGGATAGATGTGATTGAGCTCAAATGGCTATAGATTTGGTTGACACAGGCAGATCAATGCCTTGACAGTGTGTGACTGGATGACACCATGAAGGAGAACATATGGAAAAGAAAACACAAAATCTGGAGCACTGACCCTTGGAAGTTGAATAAGGAAGAGGAATCAAAAGCAAGGAGAGGGTCAAATCAGGAAAGTAAAGGAATGAAGCATTTCAGGAAGATGAAGGGGTCCTTGAAATGCTTCAGTGAAAAATATAGTAAGAGCACGAAGTTGATTTGGGGGTTTGGTAACTTGCCAGTAGCTGGTAGTTTTTTCACGTAATCTCAAAGCAGATTGATTGGAATGATAGGGCCATAAGTCTGACAGGCAGAATTCAGAAGACAATTCCATTGTCTTCTGAATTCTGCCTGTCTTCTGAATTCTGCCTGTCAGACTTATGGCCCTACCTTATCTAAGATCGCTTTTGTTTTATGTGACTTGCTCTAGCTATCAACATATGGCACGAAGGACTGTCTCTTCAAAGCAATGGAATAATAACTAAAATGGAATTTTATGGGAGAATGAAACCCATTCTACTGCATCTGACTGAATGAGCTTCAAATGTGATAGATACAGTGGTCACAATCTCTTCCCTGCTCTTAGCTTCTTTGAGAGTTGAAGTGAAGTCAATGCTTTTCTATTTTTTTTCTATTTTTTCTCTTTGTCCTCATAATTCTCAGGGCTCATTTTAGGGCCCCAAGCTCTTCACCTAGGAATTGTCTAAATTTTTGCCAGGCACTTTCCTGTTGCAATGATTGGTAATGCAACTTCCTCTATCCCACACAATCTTCTTAATCTAGGCTCATATTTTAAATGTGGAGGATTGTTCAGGTAGAGGTTGTAAATTAAGGTAGGATCCCTTTATTTTCTAAACCTTAAGCATACACACGTGCACACGCACACACACACACAGATATTCCATGTATATAATGATATCTTATAGTGGGGGTTATTTTGAATATATTTGAGCATATTAACTAATAGTATTTGTATACATCTAACTAAAACAGTAATTTATCAGGTAGAAGGCAGATGGAGGGAATAAAATCCCAACCTGTATCTCCAGTTGGGTTGTGTTGATGATGAAGTACTGTTTATTCAGGGCCAGTGTAGCTTGTCAGCAACATAAGAGCCAGAGCAGCACATAATTCCTGCATAGCTAGAAGACAATAATAAATTATCTTCTATACAAACAGCACCGGCATAAAAGCAGAACAAATATGCTCTGTCCCCCGGATTTTTGAGGAATCTCACTCATTCCCTTGTTTGAGTGTTTGAAAAGGAAACTCTTGACATTATCTCAACACCAATAAGACTGAATCAGGTTTAGACCTTTTCATTAGTATAGAGAGGGCATAAATGTTGACTCTGAGGATCGCACTCAAATCTTAAGTTTTTTACCCCCTTAGCATGCTAAGTGGTTCACATAGATCTTAGTTTGGTCAATAATTCACTCGATCTGGAGTTTGGGGCCATCCAGAGGAAAAATGGATAGAGTGTTACCCAAAAAGAGCTTGATCATAAGGATAACCTGAGAGAGAGAATACATAGGGTGGGGCCCTTGCCTTGCACACTGTTGATCTGTGTTTGATCCCTGGCACCCCATATGGTCCCCCAAACCTTCCCTGAAAAGAGAGCTGAGCACTATATGCTGTGCTTTTCTTACTTTTTTTTTTGCCCCAAAGCTAAAAACAAAATTTAGAATTTTCATGAATTTAGGAGTGCAGGCACTTGCCATATAGCTGACTTCAGTTCGATTTCTGATGCCACATGGTCCACAGCTGCAGGTCTGGAGGTCTGAAAGCACCATTAGGATGGACAGACAACACAGGGCACTATAGAACCCAAGTTGAATGGCCCAGATAACCCCAACACTGCAGCACCACATCCTCAAATTCTAGACTGAACCTCAGGTCCAGCTGGCTGAGGATTACTGGGGAATCCTGGGCCCTCTGAGGATCACTTGGAAGGCTCCCAGTATAAAATAATTAAATATATTAAAAATAAAAATATACTTGTCTCTTTTCTGTACACAATGAAAAAACTTGAAAAGAAATTTGTAATCTTGGCCAAAGCCTTCAATCACTGGTGCCAAGATTTAGGTCCTTGTTATCCATCCTTAGATTCCTTGGAGACTTTATCTTCTTTCATACCTCACAGTGGCAGAAATCTCTACATTTATGTTCTTAATGGATATCATGAAGGATCATTTGAAATAATTGTAGCTGTTGAAGGCACAATTTTTTAACATGAGGACTGACTAAATTAATATCTCCTGAATATCTGTTTCTATTTATAGGTGAATTAATTTTAGCACCTATGTAAATATTATTATTATGTCCCTAGGACAATAAATAAAAGCATGAAAGCAGAAAGTGGGCATTTTCAAAATATGATTGAGGAATTATTTGAACTTGATACTTTTTTATTACCAAGGTAGTACAGTATTGATCAGAAATAATACTGCAGCTTTTATGAACTCTCCTGTGGTGATCGCAGGAAGATAAGACAAGCTTGAAGTGGGGGAGCTTCCAAGAACTGGGTCCCTTTTATGCCAAGAGTCTAATACCTCACAGGGACCCCTCAGACATTGAGATTGAATCCAGCAGAATTGCAGAATGCTTGTTTGAAGACCCTCTTAAGTGGCTAAGTCACAATGCCAAATCCACAGGTTTTGAAGAATAGTCCCATTAACCTGGGTTTGGAAGAAATCTGTAACCAAATGCATTGAACTTTCCACAACCACTCCTGGCAGGTAAAGAGAAGCACTTCCACTTCATTTGCCATAAAATTTCATTTTTCTATATTATTTTAACAGAAGTAGATATAATATGATATGTAATCTGATGGCTTTGCATCAGAAGACAAAATGTCATAGAATCTTTTCTGTCTTGAGTATGTGTCAGTAACTTTTGTTGTGTAGCACAGTAGACTGGTGATTAATGATATGTGATAATCATATGTATTATGACAGGCATACATGTGTTTGTACTATACATATTTATAATAGTTTTCTGCATAACAGATTAATTTTGTGAATATATCTCTGAAGTCATTCAACAAGCATTTCTTGAGCGAAAAGCATATGCTTTGTATTATGCTTTGGACAAATTTGTGGTCTTCACTATTTTTTAAGGAAGAGAAATAATCATGGCAATAAATGGTTCTCATGCAGTTAGTAAACATAAAAATAACCAGCATATATCTGTGGCTACTGTGAGCCAAAGATCCCAAAGCTCTGTTGTAGTGGATGCTTTTCTGTAATTAGGCATTTTCCTTACATTGTTACATAGAGCAAACACATCTGACATTCTCCCTAATACAGATATTCTGAACTTTTACAATGGGATTAGAAACACTTGGTCAACTCAGCCTTATTCATCCTTGGGAATTATGTTTGGAGTTAATAATATTAGAGTGTATTTATAGAAAAGAAGATTTTCTCATAGATTTTCCAGTGAAAATGGTCAGTTGACATTTATGTAGTCTATGAATAATAAGAATGTACTTTTTTGCAAATGCAATGTTTTAACAAACATTTTAGGAAAATTGTTTGTCCCTGGGCCCAAGCAATAGTACAAGAGGTAGGGAGCTTGCCATGCACTCAGCCGCCCGCCCTGGTTCATTCGATACCCTGGTTCATTCAATCCCCTCTATGTCCCCCAACCCCACCAAATGTAATCCCTGATTGCAGAGCCAGAAGTAAGTCCTGAGCAACGCTGAGTATAAGCCCCACCCAAAAAATTTAAGATGTTTGTCCCTTATCCAAATCTTTCTTACTAATAATGGCAAAAACAACATCCTTTCTTGGTTCAAGAAATCAAACAGAACAAAACACAGTTGTTTCTGAGGCAGTACAGGTTTGAACAAAGTGAGTTTGTTGTGTATTTTTTCCCTTTTTCTTTCTTTTTAAGTAGGACTTTGCACTTTCTGTTTTTATTTTCACTGAAGTTGAGGCGGTATGGTTACAGTAGTGTTGATGTTTATGCTTTTGATGTACAAAACCACTGTACCTTTACTGCCACTAAAGTGCCAAAGACCCTCCTACAGTGTCCCAATGTTATTTTTAACCCACTTCCCCCAGCCCCTCACACACTGCTTGGTGACCTAATTTCTTCAGTCTAAGTCCAAGTGTTTGCTATCACTAGTTTCTCTATAGACTGCCCAGAAGTGAGGTCATCTGGTATCTGTTCTTCTCCCTCTAACTTACTTCATTTAATGTGACACTATCTAGCTTTATCCGCATTGCAGCAAAAGGCAAGATTATATCTTTTATAGCTAAGTGGTATTCCATTGTTTATATGCCAGATTATAATTTTCCTTTTTTTTTCCTTTATTTTTTCCTTTATTTATGCTGGAGCAATAGCACAGCGGGTAGGGCGTCTGCCTTGCACGCAGCCAACATGGCCGACCCGAGTTCGATTCCTCCGCCCCTCTCGGAGAGCCCGGCAAGCTACCGAGAGTATTCGATATGCCAGACACAGTAACAACAAAGTCTCCAATGGAGACGTTACTGGGCCCGCTTGCGCAAATCGATGATCAACAGGAGGGCCTTTACCTTTTTACCTTTATAATTTTCCTTATAGCTAAATTGTATTCCATTGTGCATGAGCAACATCTTCTTTATGCACTTGTCCTTTATTGAACATTTGGATCGTTTCCATATTTTGGGTATTGTAAATATCACTTCAATGAACATAGGTAGCAGATTTATATTTTAAGTAAGAGCACAAATGTTTCCAAACATTCTCAATCCATACTGTTTATGTTATTGACATATAGGAATATCAATGGTAGGACTCCTTGGAGTAGACGTGTTTGTAATTGTCCAGTGAGGGATGGTCTGGCATTAATCGCAAGTTTCCTGCTCTTTCAGAACTGCATGTTCCACAGCATCGCCAGTGATCTGAAGGCATTTGCAGACAAGTTTGGCTTTGATGTCCTCCTCCTCTTAGCTGGCTTCCTGTCAGACGAACAGCAACCACGAAGACAGATTGCTGTGTACTCTGAGAACATAGAACTGTGTGGTCAGGTAAGAGCTTGCTGTTGCCACAGTCACATTTCACTGTGTCCTACCTGCTGGTATGGAGAACCACTGTGGAAGGGGGCAGTGGCCCAGTGACATAAGAATGCGGATCTGAGACAAACTTCTGAATTAAGAGCTCTAGTGCTGGGTATTTCAGTAGAACCCTGTAAGTGTTGCACTTCTAAATGGAACCCATCAGAGGAAGAGCATTATTTTCCTCACCCAAATGTATCCAAGTCTTCCTTTGATGACTTTTATATTTTAGTGCCATTACCTAGTAGTAACAGGCAAAGATTATTTTACCTTCAGTATGATAAAGGGAGATAGTACTAACAAAATAGATCACTGGTATGTAAAACCAGGCTGTTCAATAATCAACATGGGGACATTTAGGTTTTGTAACAAGGATGTCATATAGATAGGTTTCATCATTAATCTTTCCTTGCTAATGATCATTGTACCCCAAGTAAAGGTAAAGGTAAAGGTAAAGGTAAAGGCCCTCCTGTTGTTCGTCGATTTGCTCGAGCGGGCCCAGTAACGTCTCCATTGGAGACTTTGTTGTTACTGTTTTTGGCATATCAAATACGTCACGGGGAGCTTGCCAGGCTCTACCATGCGGGCAAGACACTCTCAGTAGCTTGCCAGGCTCTCCGAGAGGGGCGGAGGAATCGAACTCGGGTTGGCCATGTTGGCTGCGTGCAAGGCAAATGCCCTACCGCTGTGCTATCACTCCAGCCCAAGTAGCTAAAAAAATTCTTGATCAATTTTTTTTCTACAACTTAATTTTTTTTCCATGTGTGGGAGTTGGCATTGGGGGTGTAGGTAGAAGACCTTCCATGAACACAGGGGATCTAGGCATCACCACTGCCATTGCACTGGAATTTTGTGCCCCCACTTCATCATTGTTTGAACATCAATCAAAGCATGTCATTGTACAAATTCAGATGGTTCCACCGACCACACACCTGCTCTGTGTGCTGTGGCCTATTGGGACCACTCATATATATGTGGTTCATTGTTGAGTGAGACAGTGTTAAGAAGTGCCTAACTAATATTCTAGAATAGAATTGTTATAACAAAGGAAATATGAATTTATGATTCTGATGGATGCTACAAAATCCCCTTTCTTCTTCCTTTTCATGAGATTGTATTAGCATCTACTTGTATATGTAGCTTCTAATGTATATATGTGTGTATTTAAATCATATTAAATAGCTGCTAATTATATGTGTGTATTTAAATCTCTGTCCCAGGTCAGAGGGCTGGCTCAAAGAGATAGAGTACAGTAAAATGGAACCTTGCATTTAGTCCCCAAAACCACATAGTTCCTCAAGCACTTCCAGGGACAGCCCCACCCCACCCCCAGCATCACTGGGTATGACCCCAAACAAACAACAAAGATAAAAAATAGACAAAATAATCCTTATTCTATAGAACTATTAAAGGGGATAAGGTATACATAAATGTGACTGCCATATGAAAGTGAGTCATTGATGTTATTTATAATTATTAATATCTCTGAAAGCTCTGTACTTTTTTATTTTGTCACCATCCTAGTTCAAAGGCTTAGTGTGTGCAAAATATCCATAAAACTTCTTGAAATTAAGTGGGAAGAAGCTGCCAGGGTCCAAGTGCCCCTGAAAAGCTCTGCCCAGATACTGATTTTTCCTTTCTACTTCCTCCTCTGCTTTATGAAATTGTAGGAACTTAAAGTACATCCTGTATGCATGCTTCTTAACAAGTTTTTTCTCTTAATCCCTCAAAAGTTCTGATTTGTCTTATCCTAAAAAACTTTTTCGCTCCTTCTTTCAGAAACTAGCATTGTTTCTGTTTTTTACAAATGTATGTTTCATTCCTATTGGAAAATGATGTCTTAAAACACCAAAAATGAATTTCAAATTCATGGTTTCAGATCTCTCTACCTTCACTTTCAGAAGCCAGAAAATATGGCTTAATTTTTTGAGTTAAATGTATAATAAGTTGAATGGATTAGAGAAAGAGCAGTTGGCACATGATGTAGAATATCTCAAGTTTTCATTGTAAAAGTTTCTGTTGCTTAAGTTCTTTTAGCTGAATGCTAGAGATATAGCCCAATGAGCTGGATCACAATCCTTGCATTCAAAGCCAAATTTGACCCCAGTACTTCCTGGTCCCCTAAGGACAACCAAGAATGATCCCTGAGCATGGAACCAGGAGTAGCTCCTGAAGAATCACAGGATGTGGCTTCTCCCAAATCAAATTAATTAGTTAGTTAGTTAATATTTAAAATAGATGAATGAACATAGATAACATCATGTTAAGAAAAATCAGGAAAGACAAATTGTTGGGGCTGAAGAGATGATAAATAGATAGTAGGGCATTTACTTTGCATATGCCGACACAGGTTTGATTCCTGAGACCCCATACAGTTCCTGGACCTCCAGGAGTGATTCCTGAGTACAGAGCCAGGAGTAAGTCTCAGCACCTCCTGATGCAGCTCAAACCAACCCCCCTCCTCCTGCCAAAAAACAAAAGAAAAGAAAAAAATTGCAAAGCACCATACCTTACAAAAATCTCTGTGCTCTCTATCCCAACAGATTTGTTGTGAACTGGAGGAGTGCCAGAATCCGTGCCTGGAGCTGGAACCCTTTGAATGTGGCTGTGATGAGATCCTGGTATACCAGCAGGAGAATCCTTCAGTGACTTGTGACCAAGTGGTTCTCCTTGTCAAGGAAGTCATCAATAGGAGGTGTCCAGAGATGGTCTCCAACAGCCGGACGTCCTCAACAGAAGCTGTGGCAGGGAGTGCCCCACTCTCCCAGGGCTCTTCTGGTATCATGGAGCTGTACGGTTCTGACATAGAGCCTCAGCCTTGCTCTGTAAATTTCATAGAAAACCCACCAGATCTCAATGATTCGAACCAAGCTCAGGTGGATGTCAACATCGACCTTGTTAGTCCAGATAGTGGACTGGCCACCATTAGGAGTAGCCGTTCATCTAAAGAGAGCTCAGTATTCCTCAGTGATGACAGTCCAGTGGGAGAAGGTGCTGGCCCTCATCACAACCTCTTCCCCGGGTTCGACTCCTATAGTCCAATTCCTGAAGGGGTAGTCGCAGAGGAGCATGCCAGATCTGGAGAACACATTGAACACTTTGACCTCTTCAACTTTGACCCAGCGCCCATGGTCTCTGGGCAGTCTCAACCATCTTCCCATTCTGCAGACTACTCCCCAGCAGATGACTTCTTCCCTAACAGTGATTCTTCAGAGGGACAGCTCCTCCATGGACCGAAAGGACTCAGTGGGGTAGGGATCAACACATCCAATTATTCATCCAGCTCGCTTTTGTCAGGGGATGGCAAAGATAGCCCTGTGGAATTTGATGAGGACTTTGTCGAGAGAGATGAAAGCCCCGGGAATAATTCTGAAAGAAATTTGAACCTGATGGGCTTTATGGAAGATGAATCTTCTTCACCAGAAAGACTAGGAAACAGTGGGAAGAGGATTCCGCCAACGCCCATGAACAGCTTTGTAGAAAGTTCACCAACCAATGAAGAGCCGGCTGTACTGTTTGCAAATGATCTGGCTCCCAAAGCAAATAACACGACAGCTCACACAGGGCCACCGCAGACACGTGCACGATGCAGCAGTTGGTGGGGTGGTTTGGAAATTGATTCTAGAAACATTGCAGATGCATGGAGTTCCAGCCAACAGGAGTCTGTCTTCCAGAATCCTGAATCATGGAGAGATCATAAGCCAAACCCACTGGAGAGGAGAGCCTCCGAGTCTATATTTGAACCAAAGAGTCTTGAATTCCCAAAGTCAACTCAACAGGAGTCCGACTTGGGTCAGTCTGGATTGGATAGCAATTCAGTACAGGACCAAAACGAAGCCATTTACCAGCGTCAGAATCTGCCAGCTGAGAAATCGCATTTGCTGAATGCATCGCAGGCAACAAACCACTTGATAGAAGACTTTGCAGCTCTGTGGTGTTCCAATGGCTCTCCCACAGCTATGCCGGAGCCCTGGGGAAAGCTCCCAGACCACGACCAACCAGCTGCTGCAGCATCCTTCCCAGCCTGGAGTGCACTTAGTAAGGACGAAGACACTGATGCTTTGAAAAATACCTGGAATCTGCACCCAACAAATAACGAGGCACCTTCTGTGAGGGACCTGAATGAGTGGGCCTTGACCAAAAGTGGGTTTTCTTTTCCTTCCGAAGACCTAGGGGATAATTCACCCAGTGAAGCAAGTAGAGAAGCAACTCCAGACATCTGGGATGAGAATAACCACGACTCCAGAAATAACATTGTAGGATCTGGAAGTCCCAAGTCTAATCGGGATCATGGCTGGACTAGTTCTAAGTTGATCGAGCCAGAGCGGAAGAGCACAGTAGTTAAAAAAATGAGGGGGGATGCATATGAAACGGTGGATTCCTGGAACTTTTTTGAGGAAAATATCAAGAAAGGAGAGTCAGACGTCCTAGCTCCTTGGGAAGATTCCTTTTTAGCATACAAATGTTCTGACTACAGTGCATCCAACCTTGGGGAAGATTCAGTGCCTTCCCCCTTGGATACCAATTACTCCACCTCTGACTCTTATACGTCACCGACATTTGCTGGAGAAGACAAAGAATCAGAAAATAAACCATTTGGTAAAGTGGGAGGTGTGGCAGCAAGTGCTATGGAGACTCCTGCAGAGACGGCTAAAGACCCCCCTCAATCTCCTCAGCAGCCACCCAGACCTCGAATTAGCTCAGATCCCGGGGCCTTAGAGATGTGGGCTTCACCTCCCACAGAGACCAGTCCTGACGTGAATGCTGGTTGTACTCTGGGTGAGGGTTTACTTGAGACAGAGTCCACAGCTGACAAAGACAGCTCCTCAGAAAAGATGCTGGAGCAAAGCCATCAGGCAAGTTACGATGACCCGGGCCTCATGCGGCTTGGCAGTGAGACCAACCGCCAGCTCGCACTTCTGCAAAGCAGCACCAACTCCCGACACGCAGCCCCTGACTCCCTGGAGTCTTGGAATGGAATGGTTCTGGAGGACACCCAGTCCACAGCCACCATCTCTGATATGGATAATGATTTGGACTGGGATGATAGTAGTGGTGGCGTGCTGGTGCCAGGAGAAGGTCAGACCCAAGGATACATAGCTGACAGTGTCGAGCCGGAAACCAGATTTTCAGTGAAACAGCTAGAACCCTGGGGTGTGGAATACCAGGAGTCAGACCAAGTGGATTGGGAAAGCCCTGCCCCTTCTAAGCATGGCAGGGATTCTGCTCCTGCTGGCTGTCCCCTGCCCCATGAGAAGAGCGGGCAGCTCATTGCAAACAGCATCTGGGATTCTGTCATGAGAGAGAATATGTCATCATCAATATTCTCAGGGCCGTTGTATATTGCAGACTCAGAGCAAGGCAATCCACCTCTTGACAGTCCGCACTCGTCAGAAGTTGAGGGTGACAGTCTGTCAGAAGTGCCAGAAACCTCTGAGGTCAGTGGATTAGGAGCATTTACACCTGGTCCCAACACACAGGACACATGCAGTGGGGTCTTGCCACAAGATTCTACATCTGTTATGACCACGATGGCCAATCCAGGGCATTTTGCACCCTCAGATCCATGGAATGATCTGAGCAATGTACAAAGTGAAGTTCAAAAGGAAATGCAAGGGACTTCTGAGAGGGGTGAGAAGGAGGTGATGGCTAGCGACCTCATGATATCTGGAATTGAACCACATGGCCAAGAAGACTTTTCTCCAGACTCATCTGAATATCAAGGAACCAACGATGAGTCAGAAAGAATCCACTCCCGTTCGGTTCCAACCAGTCCTCAGTCAGAAGAACCCCTGCAAGTCTTAGAGCCTGAGAAAGAATCTTTCAATTCGGACCTGTGTGATGAGCAAATAGGTCAGTCCCCAAACCACCTGCAGATACAAGAGACCTGCGAAGAAGAGCGCCTCGCCAGTCCCAGAAATCCCACTGAAATTTCAGGAACATGGGACTTAACAATAAGCACCGACTCACTGGAAATGGCTCTTGAGAAAACTGAAACATGCAATATGATGGAACCAGAGACAGGGAGCCCTGTGTCACCACAGCCGTGTCCCCCAAGCCCCCCAGTTTGGGATGTCTCTACAGACAGGGAAGAGCAGCAGACCATTGGCACAAGTTCAGAGACCACTAAGAATCTTCAAGTTCCGTGTACTGAGACCAACATTCCAGGAACCAGTTCAACTGGAAATGATGACAGATACAGTATTTCTAGTGAGTGTACACATTCAAGTGCGTCAAGTCCATGCTTAAATGATTCTCCAGCTACACAACCCTCCTGGGACCATGAACTCAGTGCTGAGCATCAGAAAGAAAATCAAGGCAATTGGGATCATAATGAAATAAATGCAACTGATGGCCAAGTGGAAGTAATTACTGGAATAAAGAACCTGGAGAAAGACAGAATGGAAAGATTTCAACAGAATGTCGATCAGAAAACTTCTGAATTTTTAGAAGTTTGGAATGACCCAGTAGATGGGGATGCCATTTCCTCTCTATCCAGCCCTGAAACAGGCAAATGTTCTGAACCCCCAGACACATTTCAGGAAAGAAATTTAGTGATTCATGGTCAGGACCAAAATGAACAAAATGAGAATTCTGGAACTGTGCAGTCAGAGAATACCAAGGCCATTTCCCCAAGTTCAGAGTCTGATGATGATAATAGAGATGATGAAGAGTCATTGGAGAGAGAGACCCTTAGCCAGTTTAGTCCGCACGATTCTGGAGCTTGGAGATCATTGAGTGAATCCAGAAGGTTCTTGATCACTGCTGATTCCAAGTCTGAGGATAGTTCAGAAGCAGCTGGAAATGAGAACAAATTAAATGCACTCTGTGACAGTCAGCAAAGCAGCCTTGAGCACTGGGATTTTTCCCCACTCAAGGACGCTGAAATGCATGTGCCAACAGTGGATAAGGATAAGGTGCCCTCTCCAGAGACAGGAAAGATGGCAGATACCATATGGCAAACAGCTCCTGAGATGGAACCCAGGAATGAAAACTGTTCTAAGATGGAAATGCTTGGCTTCTCGACAGAGAGTACTGAGTGGTGGAATACTTCCCCGCAGGAAGGCCGACAAGTTGCAAGTGCATTTGAAAGGGATCTGTCTAACTCAAGTGATGTTATAGAGAGTAAATCTTCAGAGTACCAAAACGTGGGTCCCTGGGGTGTCCCCATTCAGGGTGATGCGGAGTCTATGGCAGTGCACTGTGCTAGTCCTTTCAGTGATAAGCAAGAGTCACCCTTTCTGGATAGTAGTGGGGATAACTCCCACAAGCAGTTTTGGAACATACAACCAAAGCAATCAGATCCAGAAACTGATCAGCATAACGAACTTGTGGCATTCGACCAAGTTAAAGAAAACAATTCAAGAGAGCAAGGTTCTGTGTCCTTCTCTGGTGATGAGCTCAAGTCTGAAACACCTACCCAGGAGCAGTGTCAGAATCCAGTGCAGTCTACCTGGGATCAGCCTGACCCAACATTGGCTCACGCAGATGAAAATACATCCATTATATCCAATGTTCCAGCCACCAAACATCAAGAAACCAATTGGTGGGAACAAGAAAACTCTTACCTCAGTTGGAAGACTAAGTCAAACCTTGCCTTAGAATATTTTCCTGCTGTCCAGTCTTCCACCCAGTTAATGGAAATGTCTGGCTCTGAACAGGAAGGCTCTTCTCCCGGTGAGAAGCCCCAAGGCACCTTTACTCCTGATATTCTACATGGCAGTTTCCAAGAAAGTGGACAGCTGACCTCAGCATCACCTGATGTGTGGGTGGATGTCAAGCAGTCCTTCAGTCTGAAAGCAGAGGGTGAGAATCCCGATATCCTGACATACTGCCCTTCCCAGGCTTCCGGCAGCCCTGATATATATAATGAGTCTGATAGCAAGCAGGCCCAGGATGCAATGGGGGTTGAAGGGGAGCCCAGCGAGCTCTATGTCACCAAGCCAAAGACAGACCAAGAACTTGATGAGGAGCCTGAGGAGGAATATGTTCCATCAAACTCAGAACTGTGTCCTGAAAACACAGTCTCCTTGCCTCCAGTTACTGAGCCAGCAGGTGCCGATGAAGCATCTCAGCCTACTTCTCTAGCAAGTTCTCCTGAATCTTCTGAAATACATGATGAAAACAATACCAGGGTAACAACATCTGGAGAAAAAGCCGACACGGAGAGATCACAAACTTTGGAAGCTGTTGATGCAACAGTCCCAACAATGGAAAAGGTGGGGGACAGCATTTTTGTAAGTCACCCAGAACCAGTAATAAAAATCAGTAGCTCTTGGACAGCCGAGGACTTTTCTGTGGAAGGCCAGGAAAATGCAGGGGCCTTATTGGAGTGTGAGCAATCACTGGCTAGCGAGGCTCTTGCCGTGGTTCGTGGGGCTTCGCCAGCCTCAGACGCTTGTCTGGATGTTAGTGACGCTGCTTTTGACCACAGTTTCAGCAAAGCCTCGGCTCTCAACACATCCACAGGAACCATCGATGACATGAGTAAATTGACCTTATCAGAAGGCAACTCTGAAATGTCAGCGGATGGGGATGCCGGGAAGCAAGATATCTGCTCATCTGAGGCATCATGGGGTGATTTTGAATATGACGTCATGGGCCAAACCTTGGATGAAGATTTAGCGAAAGAGCCTGAACACTTTGTTTATGGTGGAGATGCTCCCTTAGAAGAAGACTCGTTGAAGCAGTCGCTGGCACCTTATACACCGTACACACCTCCCTTCGATCTGTCTTATCTCACAGAATCCACAGCAGCTGCCGCAGCATCAGAGGATGAGTCCCTGGGAAGTGAAGCCCCAGAGATGGTGCTCTCTGCCCCTCCGGATCCAAGCAGCAAAGGAGACCACCCTGACACCGGGGACAGCCAGCCTGGCCGCCAGCTGGTGGTACTGCACATTCATGAAGACCCTGAGTCACATCCTTTACCTGAAGGAACTGACAACTCGGTCTTGTCCCCATCAAATATCGACTGGGAGGTAGAAACAGAGAATACAGCAGTACCAGTAGGTGGAGACATAGGACCAGGAGATGGTAAGTAACTTCCCACTCTTGCTGTTTTTATTCACTTCGCATTTGTGAAACATGCTTCCTACCAATGTGAGTGGGGAGGCACCAATTAAATTTGTGATGTGCATCTAAGACAAATCCTGTGTTGTTGCCATGGTATTCATGGCATATATGATGCCTGAGAATGTGAGATCAAGTGGCATAGCTCTGCCAAATAAAGATTCCTTAAATTCCTTAAATAAAGATTCTCTTTCAGACATAACATTTTTAATGATCACAAACCCCAACACATACGGTGTTCACAAAATCATGTGCTCTGCCCTTCTCACCTTTATCTTTCACCTCTAGGTGTCAGCAAGAGGATTTTACAGTTGGGAGATGAGAACATCATTCCTGATGAAGAACCCAAAGAGACCAAATTTGAATATGAAGAAGAAAAGTGCTTAGAGAAGAATGATCATCATGTGCTACACATGGATTATATACTGGTAAACCATGACGGGAATTTATCCCCGAAGACAGATGCCAGTGAAGCAAGAGACAGCATGCCTGATTTGGAAGAATTTCATAGAGATGCCCAAGATATGGAACTGCCAGGCGCTCCGTTAGCAAGCTCTCCTGATACATGCCAGTCAAACTCCATCAATGAGACAAGCCCTCACCCTGTGGAGAGACTAGCTTTAACAGATGATAAGAGATCACCTCTGGAAAGCCCAGGGCAAGATCCAAGTTGGATGGTCTTGAGCCATGATAAGGCTGCTAAACTATCATCAGAAACTAATGACTCGTCGCCTCAAGAAGATGACAAGACTGTGCAGCCAGCCTTTACCTTGGACGACAGTTCCCAAATGCAGGTTCCAGAAGAAATGAAGCCTATGGATTCTTTAGCGGTAGAGGAAGCCTTTGGTCTTGGCAACCAATCAGAGATGAGTAAGAGCCAAAACCAGGCTGGTTCAGAAGCCGTTCTGTTGCAGACAGTCACTCATGACAATGAATGGGAAATGCTTTCCCCACAGCCTTCTCCGAAAAACACCATCCCTGAAATGGAAATGGAGGAGGAGACGGAGTTTCTTGAGCCCAGAGCAAGAAAACCAAAACCAAATGAGTAAGCTAAAAATTCAACTAATTTTTTTATCTGAAAACAATATTTTATTAAAAAGTGGTATAATGTCGAGGGTATGAACAACACCTAGATGGTGAATCATTGCTTTTATTTATTGCAATGCATGCTATCTGTAAAAACAGCTGTTGGGCAATCATAATAGTGGTCATAATAATGTTGTAATTTCAGGTAAGAACTGCCCTTTACCACCCAGTTTTAAACTTGCCCTACTAAATGCCCCACCAACTCAATAACTTTATTACTCTGATTAAACAGGTAGGTGGAGCTGGGGGTGGGGGATGCCCTAATTTATGCATAATGCAAGGCAGTTTGTGCCAATCCTTACAAAAATTCTAAGGTGTTAATCTTTATTTAATATATGCTGGTGGGAGAGAAGAATTGGGGTTCAGAAAGATTCTATGATTTTCTAGAAATAAGTAACCACAGCTGACACTCCAGGGTTCAAAGTTTCCCATGACAGTTTCCACATCTGCTTTACACACACACACACACACACACACACACACACACACACACACACACACACACCCCTATCACACAAGACAAGAAAATTATGATCCCAGGCATGCATGAAATTTACTGTTAGGAATAAGGAGAATCTACCACAGGCTCAGAAGTTCGATGGGAAGATTTCATTCTCCAATTGGCAGAAAAATGAGCATCATCCATCAGAATGGCTCTTCATTCATTCATTCGTTCATTCATTCATTCATTTGTCCATTCATTCTTCCATCCATTCATTGTATGATGTTTGAAAAACTGCTCTGTTGACGTCTGGACCTTCAGTGAGTGAATCTGTGGAAGCACATCTCGCCTTGTCTTCCAGCTCTCAGACCCTGCTCAGTTGAGGACTGGTCATTTCTCTTAATTTGCCCCATGAAGCCCCCTTACTTCCCAGGAACTAAATCCATATTGTGGAAAATTTACTAGGACAGTGGGAATAATCATGTTTGTTCCTTAAAAGGTAGTGGAAAAAGGCATCTTTTTTTTTCTACGTTCTTGGAGAACATGAAGGACTTCCATATCACTTTGAACGAAAGAATTTCTGTTCCAGCTCCACTCTACCATTACTAATTATATAGTGTATGTGGGAGTACTCTAGCCCTAAATTTCCTCTTCCATAAATTTGATACCTGGGCTGGAGAACCTTAATCTTCCCTGTGAATTTAATTCATGTGTAAATAGTAAGTAAAATGTATCCAGGGGTGCACTGGCATTTACAAATTACGTTTCTTAATAAAAGGGACAGAGAAAACAAAATAAGAGAGGAACTGGGGGCTAGTTAAGTGTCAGAGTGAGAGCAAACCTGCCCTATTTCAGTGTAGCTTCTTAAATGCAGACATTTCCCAGTTAATCGGATTTTTTTTTCTTCCTGTCAACTATTTCCTTCCAGAGAGACCTCAGATCTGTTATCAGAGAGCATAGCAGATGGATCCCAGCAGTCCTGCTGGCATTGTTATAGATTGAGTTGAGAACTCAAGCAGCATTCAGTTGGCTCAGCTATATTGTTTGGCTTTTTAAAGAAAAAATTATGGGGGAAAAGGGGTGGAGAAGAAAATTACCTACCTTTTTTTCATTGCTAACACAATTTTATTAATTATAAGAAATAATTTCCAAAATAATGCCGCGCACACACACCCTTGCTCACATGCTTCTTTGGAAGATTTCCTCTCCTCCTCTAGACGGGCTCTCGTTCAGTGACTTCAGAACAGCATAGAAGAACTCAGGCCTCCTCTCAAACCGTTTCTCCCAGCAAAGTTCCCTGCTGGGCACACCACAGCCCCAGAGCTATGAGGACATGGCTCCTGCCAAGGACAGGAGCTTAATCCGCACTCTCCGCTGCTCCCCCCTGGCCGGCTCGCCTGGATTTTTCTTTTCATCCTCTGACTTTTTTTTCTTCTTGCTTTTTCGTTCTGGATTCAATTGAGTGAGCTTTTAGTTTTTATCTGTGATGTATTTTAGCTTGCTAACATTTCCAGGTCTTTGGCAAAATTTTCACACTGTTGAAACGTCAGCATCCAAATCACTGCGATGGTCTGTGCGCGAACACCACCTCCATGTCCCGTGCTTGGAATTTACTCTTAGAGGTGTGCTTAGGGGTCACTCTAGTGGGAGAACCTTGTAAGGCCAGTGCCTTTATCTATACTATTACTCTGGTTTCTCTGGTCCTCCTTGGCTTTGAGTCTGAATTTTACACAGCCTCCTGAAATCCATCAGATGATCATATCCAATATCCAACAGTACCCAGTTGTCTCACCAGCATCCTTTCTTTCAATACGATTTCTTTGCTCATTTCTCCTCTCTTGGCCCCTGAAATAACAAATATGTTCTGACAACTGAGGAAGCTGGGCAGCTCCTACTGTTGTTTGTCCTTCCTTTGGCATAAGTAATTGATGCTGGATGCATTTGAAGTCTTCCTTCTGATTTGGGAGGTATGCAGATCTAAACAGTGATTCTGTAAATAGGAACTGAAGTCCACCAGCAGCAGCCTCACTGAGCAAGTGATTGTTAGAAATGCAAATAATCAGGCCACTCTGCTGAATCAGGAACTGGGGGGCACAACCATAACTTCTGTTCCAACACCTCCTTCCGGTGTTTCTGTGGAGCCTGGTGGCTTGAGAACTACTTATCTTAATTTATTCCAGTCCTCTCAGAAATCACAGTTTAATTGGGGAATTGAACATAAGAGGAAAGGTAGATAAAGGGGGCTAAGGAGATAGGACAGTGGGCAAAGTGTTTTCCTTGCATGCAGTCAATCCAGATTTGATCCCTGATACTACATATGGACCCTAAACCCTGCCCGGGTGTTCCCCCCTGACCCCTGAGCCATGAGTAATCTCTGAGCACAGCCAAGTATAATCCAAACATTCACCCCCACAAAATGTAGATAACAATGTAGTTTTCTGATCAAGATAGTTAATAAGCAGGGTCCATTTAAATATAAATGCACTTACGAGCATTCGTCACCAACCAGATCTTATGCGTTGAATATATACATCACCCCACATTGTCAAGATGATTGTATGAGGTAAGAATTATACAAGGGAAGAAATAAATGTTCAGTCATGTCAAATAGTTCCCTCTGGTTGCTAGTTAGAAAGTAGAGAAACGTTGGGAGGGGCTGGAGTGATAGTACAGTGTGTAGAGCTCTTGCCTTGCATGGGACCAACTTAGGTTCAATACCTGGCACTACATATGGTCCCTTGAGCCCCACAAGGAGTGATCCTTGAGCACAGAGTCAGGAGTAAATCCTGAACACTGCCAGATGTGGCCCACACCCACCCCTCCCCACAATAAAAACTTGGTGTATCTTTACGATTATAGCTAGGTCATGTTCAATAACCAAAATAAATGGTCCCCATCTGTAGTCTAGCCAAGTTAAAGTATGGGCTGGAGCGATAGCACAGCGGGTAGGGCGTCTGCCTTGCACGCACCCAACATGGCCGACCCGAGTTCGATTCCTCCGCCCCTCTCGGAGAGCCTGGCAAGCTGCCGAGAGTATTCGATATGCCAGACACAGTAACAAAGTCTCCAATGGAGATGTTACTGGGCCCGCTCGAGCAAATCGATGATCAACGGGAGGGCCTAGCCAAGTTAACACATAAAAATTAGCCCATCATAGTTTATAAATTTTAAAAACATGGAACTAAGATTAAGCAAGCACGAAGCCATTAACATTTGTGAATTCAGCATTTAAATTATATTAAAGTGTGACAAATGAAATACAAATATATCACCTTTATCTAGGTGTGAGTCAAGGAACTGGTTGTGCAGAGGTGAAGCAAAATTGGTTTATTTTGGGGGGTTTTTGGTTTGTTGTTTTCTTGAGGCCCTTTGTGGAAAAAAAACAGTATTTGATGGAACGTAATGTTAAATGTTGCTTTTATTTTAAAGAATCAGGCAAAAGCAGTGAGTGATCCTTCAGCACAGAGTAGTTTACAAGAAACAGAAAGGGATCAGAATGCAGAAAAGAAATGAATCATGGTGGTGGAATGTGTGGATACAAGATTCTCATTAAAATACTGAATTATGGCTTGTCCTTGAAAGTTTGATGCCTCCTAGTTATACGACCATAGGGCATATTGTAAATCTCTAAGAATTGATGCCACAAATTTAGAGATAATTACGTCAAGAAGTTTTCTTCCTCAGGACTTCTAGTCAGAGATGCTGTGAGCACAAAATTCTTAATTTTTCATTGTGAACTCTATACTAACAAGGTGATTTTCACATCCTAGCTGAAATTTGTGGAAATATACTAAACATTTGGGATGCACGCTACAAGATTACATATGGCCAACCAGAGACTGCAAGTCATCTCAGGGCCAGTGGCCCATGACAGGACAGAATAATAGGTCAGCACTGAGGGTCCTGGTGTGACTCATCTGAAAGTGTTTCAAACCCTGCATGTTTGGTAAGGCTGATCTGTCTGTAATGAGAGGTGTGGGGGAGTCTGAGGTCTGAGGTCATCTCCCAGCAGCTAATATGATGTCCTAGTCCAAATGCTGAAGCTGCCACTCACCACCTTGGTCTGTCTGTGTTCAGACTGACTAGCCAAGTTATTTCACATCTTCTTTATCCATTCAGCTAAAGACAGCTAAAGAGAGTGTAAGATTATTCCATTTATACATGAGAAACATGTTTAAATGTTTCACATTCTTTATCCATTCACCTAAAGACAGATATATTGATTGCCTTCATATTTTAGTTATGAGATAAATAAATTATGGTGTTATGAAATAAATGATAATTATGAAATAAATCATAAAATTAATTAATTAATTATGCTGTGATCAATTATGGGATGGATAAGACTTTTTGTGTTAATGGTTTTATATTCTTCCCCAGAAGTAGGATCGCTGGATCATATGATTGCTCTATCTTTAGTTTCTTAAGAGAACTCTATACATTTTTCCAAAATGGCTGCTCTAATTTACATTTCACCAGCAGTGTACAGGAGTTCCATTTCCTCCACACCCTCTCCA